TTATCCTTTGGCCTGCTTCATTCTGTACTCCATTCTGTAGGTTACAGTATATATGTTCAATGTATGAGGTTATTCATTGCAGCATTGTTTGTAATTACAAAAATTGTGAACAAAAAATTGGGTTAACACTGTGACATATCCAGTGAATGGAACACTTCAGAACTCTTGAAAAATAAACCAGCTGTATATGAAGGATAGTGAATCAAAGTCATATTGTGTATCAAAGTTTTATTGTGAAGTCAAGATAGCAAATTGTGGAAAACTGTCTCTTGCAGCTAATCATTGAATAGAAGCAAAGCCACAACATGCATCAAACACACACACACAAATCTGCTTTAGAATATGCATAGATTCTAGCAGGACATCCAAGAATTAGTAACAACCCGTTCCTTTAGGGACAGGAACAGACGTTGGAGGGTCAGGATTGGAAAGACACTTTTCAGTATTTTCCTTTTTGTGTTTGAAATTTTCAAATGTGTTCAATTTTCAAATGTCCTACTCATTACTCAGTAGTAAATAATTTACAAGTAAGTAAGCTTTTCTTTTGCTCGAAAGCAAAAGACCTCTCTGCATTTAAGGCGGACTGTTGTATCTCATTCCCAGCTGCTATTATATTGGATTATTGTGGACATAGGGAAGGGATTATTGCAACTTATGTTTGGTTTTGTTTTCCAGGACGTTGTTGGCTTTAGGATGTCATGTGGGTATATCAGATGAACATGCTGAAGAAAAGGTGAAAAAAATGAAGCTGCCAAAGAAGTAAGTTGAATGTCTAAGCAATGTTAAATGGTCCATGTGTTACTTCAGTGTTACTGCACCTATGTAACTCTCAATGGAATCCTAGATTCCTTGCTTACAGATAAGCTATAAAATTCAGATTCAGAATTTAAACATGCTGCATTAATGTAGGGGCCACATCAAATTTATGGTGGTGGGTTGAGAGTTTCCATCACAGTGCCCTAAGGAGAAATAGGCTCACAAAATATTTGGTAGTGTGTTATGAGTAGGTTATTTTCCATGTGTGTGTGTGTGTGTGTGTGTGTGTGTGTGTGAGCACGTGTCCACATCCTTATTGCTTGTGGCTTCCCACTTTTCACCAGAAAATATATCGTTTTATTTATTTTCACAAAGAAAATCTATTTTAGGAGGAGTTATGAAGTCAGTGTTACCACTCCCACTTTAAGATGGGAAAACTGATGCTCTGGGAGTTATTTTGGTTACTGTATTGCAACCTCTGTGACCTTGTTTTAACTTATTAAAACTTCAGCTTTCTTACCCACTCACAGGTATTAATAAAGGGAGTTTTAGGGATTAAATAAGTTAAGTGCTTAATGAATTATAGCTGTTTCATTTTGCTACTTTTTTGTTAAGTATTCAGAGCACTCTTTTGGGGCCTGTATGTTGTAAATAGCATGCCTGGAAGTTTGCCAAGTACTATCATGGAGATTGAAATAACATACACGTGAGTGAGTGAGTGCAATTTGCTCAGTCATGTCTGACTCTTTGCAGCCCCATAGACTATACAGTCCATGGACTTCTCCAGGCCAGAATACTGAAGCGGGTAGCCTTTCCCTTCTCCAGGGGATCTTCGCAACCCAGGAATCGAAGCCAGGTCTCCCGCATTGCAGGTGGATTCTTTACCAGCTGAGCCACAAGGGAAACCCAAAGTATACATAGCTATTCCATAATTTTCTTCAGTCACCCCAGATAAAATTAAAGTAGAAATAGCATGCTTGCTATGGAAATTGTAGCAGGTCCTTTAGGCCAACAAACATTTTTATTCAGTTCCTCCATTTAAAAAATGGTATTAAAAACACATTGTGCCAAGTTGTATAAAGTAGAGGACTAATTTTTGAGACCAAAACCATATACAGTAAGTCCTGCACATATAAACCTTCAAGTTGCAAACTTTCAAAGATGCAGATGTGCATCTCGTTCCAACAAGGATCCAGGACCTGTGCCATCAAATGTCAGGCATTAGTTAAACCGCAGCTCGCCCTCCCCTGTCTGCTGTTGCTAACAGTCCTTCAGCTATACTGTCTCCTACCCCTTCTCCCTCCTCCAGTCAGTAATTCTTGCCTGTTCACTCGATGCCAGCCCCTGTATGCCCGCTGTTGTACTACTATACTTTTCAAGGTAATATGCATGCTTGATTGCTAAGTCGCTTCAGTCGTGTCCAACTCTTTATGACTCTATGAACCCTGCTCTGCCTGGCTTCTCTGTCCATGGGATTCTCCAGGCAACAATACTGGAGTGGGTTGCCATGCACTTCTCTAGGGGATCTTCCTGACCCAGGGATCAAACCTGTGTTTCATGTCTCCTGCATTGGTAGGCAGGTTCTTTACCACTAGCACCACCTGGGAAGCCCTCAAGGTACTGTACTGTAAGATTAAAAATCTTTTCTTTATTTTTTGATTTTGTTTTTCATGTATGATTTGTGTGAAAATATTATAAACCTATTACAGTACAGTACCATATAGCAATTGAGTTAGTTAGATACCTGGGCTTTTTTGGACTTACAAACTCACTCATAATAGAACTCGTTTGTATGTAGAGGGCCTGTTGTATAAAAGGAAACAAACAGAAACACTGTAACTAAAGTATTCAATGCGTCAAGTGAAGAATGTAACAGATAGCATCTGTAGCAAAGCAGACCAAGTAGAAGAAAGAGTAAATGACCTGGAGGATAAGAATAAAGAAATGATCTAGTTACCAGAGGAGGGGACACTTCAGATTAAAAGAGTGATGAAGGCCTATAAAAACTGTCATATTCTACCAGAGACAGAAATGTCTGAATAATTGGGTTTCAGGATAGGAGAGGGAGAAGGAGACAGGGAATTCATTTAAAGAAACTATATTTGAGAGCATCTCAGGCTTGGGGAAAGACTTAGACGTACAAGTCCACAAAGCTAAAAGAATGCCCTTTTATCTCAAGTAAAAAGACCTCTCCAAGATGCATTACAGTGAAACTGTCAAAAATCAGTGAGAAAAAAATCATCCTACATAAACTAGGGAGAAAGAAAGTAACCTACAAAGTGATCTCATTAAGCTATTAGTTGATTTCTCAATAGAAACTCTATGGTGCAGGAGAGGATGAAATGACACATTCAAAGTGTTGAGAGATAGAAATTGCCAGCCAAGAATACTTTATGCAACAAAGTTGCCTTACAGATATCAAGGAGACATAAAGGCTTTCCCAGACAAAAGCTGAGGGAGTTCACCACCAAGAGACCTGACTTGCAGGAAAAGTTGAAAGGAATTCTTCAAGGTGAAATGAAAAGATGCTGATCAGGAACAAGACAACATAACAAAAATACACAGTACACTGGTGTAAGAGAAACAAAGACAGTCTGACGCAGAGAAGTATTAGGGTGGTGTACCAATCCCTTCACTGTAGTACAAAAGTTAAAGGAAGAAAATAGTAAAAGAATTCTGTGTGCTTAGTCCCTCAGTCTTGTACGTCTCTTGTGGCCCCATAGACTGTAGCCTGCTAGGCTTCTCTGTCCATGGGATTCTCCAGGCCAGAATGTTGGAGTGGGTTGCCATTGCCTTCTCCAGGGGCTCTTCCTGACCCAGGGATCGAACTCAGGTCTCCTGCATTGCAGTCAGACTCTTTACCGACTGAGCTACAAGGGAAGCCCATAAAAAGAATTGTAAATACTATAAATATAAATTATTAATGAATGCAAGACATAAAAAGAAGTAAATTGTGTCATCAGTAATATAAAAGAGAGGAGAAAAAGTTGGATCCTTTATAGGTTTGCAAAGGTGGGTTGCTAAGCCTAAAATGGACTGTTTTATCTGTATGATATTTTATGTAATTTGCAAGGTTATCACAAAAGAAAAACCTAGAATGGACTCAACAAAACCAAGAAAGAGAAAACAAAGCATATCAACATGGATATGGATATAGACATAGACAGAGGGAAAAAGAAACAATGGAAATAAAAAGTAACCAGAGAGCAATTAATAAGATGGTGTTAGTATGCCTTTGCATGTCAGTAATTACTCTAAATGTAAATGGATTAAATTCACCATTCAAACAGTATAGAGCAGTTGGATGGATAAAAAAACAGACCTAACTATTCACTGCCTACAGGAGATCCATTTCAGATTTAAGAACAATGTAGATTCAAACTGTAGTTAGAATGATGTGCTTTATTCCATTTTTTAAAATAGGCAACCTGAGTGTTAGTTTTTTTCCCTGATAATACAGATCCTCTCTCTGAAAATCTGTGAGGACTTTTATAGAATATGTGATTCATTGTAGTTCTGTTTTCCTTCTCCTCCCTCTTTCTCCTCACCCTCCTCTCTAAACAAACCAGCAGGCAACTGAATAATATAGCACATTATTGTCTATTCTTAATTTTGTAAATCTTCCCACATTTGTTATAAAATTAAACTCTTGACCCACTGCAGAGTTTGATGAGCAGAGTCCAATTGCTGAAGGAATAAAGTAAAATACAACTGAAAAGAAGCGCATTCCCAGATATTGTGGTTCACAATATCTTATATCCCTGAGTAATGAGAATTTTTTTAAATCTAAAAGTTTAATTGAAAATGCAGTTCTTATCTGAATACCAGTGCCTGTTATTCACACTTTTTGTTAGCACTTATCTGCTGTTAAGTAAACCCCAAATGTAGTAGGTCAGAAACTGGTTGCTTTATATATCACTGGGAAGTAAGAGATAGTGCTGAGTTATGAAAAAGTATATTAGAATTATTTGAGAAATACTTATGACTCGTGCTAAATTCCCTCCCTCCTGCACCACAGTCTTACCCTGCTGCTGTAAAACCACTATCGTGATGTCAAGTTGAGGTGTAACTGGTATCTCTCAGGCATATTGGGGCAGATACAAGGTTAAAAATGATATTCTCAGTGTTCATATATGTGTATAAATTTAAATGAGTTTCAGAAATTAATGCTTAGATGGATCCAGAATATTCAGACCCATATTTATACAATGCATATAGACACAAGCCCACACACAAAATACAGTGTCTATAAATATTTACCTAAATGAAAGATAGTGTTACAAATGCAGCTGGATTATTTTCCCATAAGTATGAGGCCCTGTGATTGTGAATAAAGAAATATTTATATACTCTTTTCATGTGTAGTGAGTAAAGTTCACAGACCACAAATTTTAAAATGTGCCAACATGTACTGTTCTTCATTTGTTCTCATTGGACTTAATTTCCTGTTTAAACCCAATGGGCCTTGCAGCCAGAATGCAGCTTGTTAGTGACAACCCATTCCTAGTCTTTTCACTGCAAACTCAATTGAAATCGCAGTTTTCTGTTTATTCTCACCTATGTATTTTGATTTCAAAGATCATCTTCTGAAAGCCGTCTTTCTCTGCCTCCTTAAAATTGCAGCCTATTTAAAATTGTGCTTTCTCTCCTGTCCCCTTTCCTGCTTGATTTTTTTTCTGATAGCATTTAAATATCATCTAACATATTATTATGTTTGTTTTATTCAACGATGTATCATTAGTTCCCAGAACAGGGCCTGAAACATTTGAGTGCAGGGTAAATATTTGAATTAAGTTCAAGCTCAAAGTTTACCCCCTTCTTACTCCCAGGGCTATGTATCTTTGGGACACTCACCTGATTGGAGAGGAAACATTGGGTCCTTGAACATTCTCATTTGAGTTTGCTGTCAGGAACTGAATTACATCAATGAAAACCAGAGCCAGACAGAAGTTAAAGGAATAAAGACAAATTTTATTCCAGAACTATTACAATAGGGGAAGAGA